GGAGATGTGGGGAGGTGTGGGGAGGTGAGGGGAGGTGTGGAGGTGTGGGAAGGTGAGGGGAGGTGTGGGGAGATGTGGGGAGGTGTGGGGGTTGTGGGGAGATGTGGGGTAGAGGCCTAGAGAAACTGATAGGTGTGGGGGAGGTGTGGGGTAGATGAATAGAGAAACTGGGAGGTGTGAGGTGGATGAGTAGAGAAACTGGGGTGTGTGGGGAGATGTGGGGTAGATGTTAAGAAAAATTTGGAGGTGTGTGTGTAGATGCCTAGAGAAACTGGGAAGGGTTGGGAGGTGTGGGGAGCTGTGGGGAAGTGTAGGGAGGTGTGGAGTAGATGCGTAAACGATTAGGAAATTCAAATAGTGAGAGGGGTGGAACAAGCAGAGGGGGGGGGGGGGTGAGGTGGAAGTTGAATGGACGGGGAATTGCATCCTATTCTCGTACCGCTGTGGGTAGAGGATTCATACGTGATATTAATGATATTTAAAAGCAAATCAAATTACATGTACATGTATAGCAATTTTGGTTGACTACACGATCATAATGTAGGCATACGTTTGCTCTGCCCCAATAAAAATAAATAAATGAATATAATATTTTAAATAAATGAATAAAAATCTAATACGGTACCATAATGTGCAATGATGGAAGTCAGCTGCTGTACTACTTTTCTTTTGAACTTGGCTAAGTTCCGAAAGTCCTGGGTTCAAAATCGCGGCGGTTCGACAAGTTTTCTCCCTCTCTCTTAACAGAATGAATAATTTATTCTAATGTCTCTTTATTCCGTCTACACCCTGACCTGTGATAAGATTACGTTTGCCAGCTGTCCAGAAGTACTAAACCCAAAATTTTATATTTTTATAAAAAATGTCAGCTTTTGAATCTATGGTATCGGTTGCATTGCTTACTCAAGAATAATATCAATTTGTTAAAAATCAAAATTAAAATTAATTATATATTATGTAACTTTTTTGTTCATTTTCTCTATCCTGAAACAAATAACTCGCCGATGATAGTGCATTTTAAAGTCTATTGCCGGTATTTTAAGCGCAGAGCTCAAGGCAGATTTTGCTTGGTATATAATATACATTCAGAAGCCCGGCAGACAGAAATGAAAATTAATAAGAAAAAAAAATAACAGAACAAACCAGTCCAACCCCCCCTATAAAATAACTAAAAAACAAAACAACAAAGCCTTCCTCGTCACATGTTGGTGATTTTGAGAAATTTTAATTTAAAAGTTTGGAAACTCATTCTCCTAAAGAACATATCTTTTCGGACTTCATTAACATTTTACAAATGATCCTGCCGTGTAAACCGAAGTCTGTGATGTAGCGTTTATGCGTTTTCCAGTTGCACGCAGGAGACCAGAGTTCGATTCCCGAGTGGGAAGAATTTATATAGAGTACCTTGCGGTCTTTCTGTTGAGATGCAAGTTCGAAGCCTTAACGATCTTAACTCTACTAAGTTGCATCGACGGGCAAAAAAAAGCACCTTCATTCTAAAAAAAGTCGTGAACCACCCGCAGAGCACAGCTTAAAAGAATGAGTGTCAGCCTCTAAAATATCTTCTAAAGAAAGAATGCATTTTGAAAGAAGATACCAAAGTTTACAGTTACAACTTACCTCTTGGGCAGACCTTTGTGAAACTTGTGAAGGAGAGCGAAGCTCCCGAAACACGAGAGCAAAACTACGCGGTGCGCACTGCGTGACGGAGTACTGTACCCCTCTCTCTTGTTTGGATAGATTTATCGAAAGAAAAAGTGATAAAGATTACGAAAACATTTCAAATCAAAGCAAAGATCGATGGTTCCTGCAGGGCATAGCTTATTGATTCTTTCTGCTATTGACAGGTGAGGTTGACAAATGTGATCGACCGCGCCAGATATATACTGTAACACTTATGAGCATGTCAAAAACTTATTAAGACAGAAGACAAAGTAGGGTCTAGGATCGAACGTCGTGGCGGGAAAAGGGAGGACGTCACTAGACAGGAAAATTATGACGTAATTA